CTCCTCCTCCTCCTCCTCCTCCTCCTCCTCTCCTTCCACCCGTCCTCGTCCTGTTCTTCCTCCACCTTGTTTTTCCTTCAGTCCACAGCTTATATTTCTCTGAATAGACTGTTTTTGTCCTGGGCATGCCATCAGCTCAGTTGAAATAATTCTTGGCTGTATATTAAGGGAATAACCCAAGTTCGAGCCCCTGGCGCTACGGCCTTGGAATTATGATGTCTAGGGAGTTTTTAAGCTTCGACCCTATCAAGATGGACGTTGAATTCTGATGTCCTTAAACGACCTTGTTGTATTGAAAGTGGTGTATAAACGGCACCGTTGCTTTCAAAAGCGTTGTGTTCCTCGCCGTCCAGGCAGCCTGATGCCTTTTTCAGAGTAACTTGTAATTATGTAATTAATGGCAAGGAGTTCCCTCGACCGTCTGTGATGTACTGGTCAAACTCTTCGCATTTACATGCAAAAGACGTGTGTTAGATTCCTGGTCGGGAAAGTTATTTAGTCAAGTATCTTCATGTCTTCTTCGATGCTGTATGCCCCTGAGCTCGTGTAACATCTAACGTTGCTTGCCTTATCTTTATAAGAAAGCGTTGCAAGTGCCGTAATACAGTGGTCTCTTGAGACCAACCCTTCCATCAATAAGCACCGTACATAAATGAAACCAACCAGAGAAGGGGTGGAATGGTTAGGCTTGTTACTGTAACATACAAAAGACGTTTTTTTTAATTCCCTCTTAGGGAAGTACATGTATATGTGGGTGGTTGGCGGGTGCTCTGGTGTGGTTTGCTTCTTCTTGCCTATCAAACATCTATCGTCTTTATCCCCCCCTCCCCCTCCTTCTTTTTTATGTTTGTTACTCTCTTGTAACACCTCTAATCTTCGGCACTTATATGACCCTATTGTGTTGCAAGTGCCGTAAAACTCTTACAAGAACTAAAAGGAAAGTGTAGGCCTATATTGCAAGGTATCTCCGGCTTTCATTTGGGATGGTGTCTCCCTTTCAGCTCGGATTGGCCAACAGGCAAGGTTAGAGCAGCACGTCGCCTAAATCATTAACTTATTGATGACAAGGGGGCGTAAACCACATAACGCCAACAATATGACGGTTGAATATGCTCTGTTTTGCAATAGTTCCCAGGTTTATCTTCTATTGGGTGCATCGAGGATGCCCCGAAAGGTGCTATTTTTGTTTCTTTTCTTCTTTTATTTTGTCTGTCAGTCTTACTTTTTTCTCCCAGCCAAAGTGGTACGTTATTTTGTCAATGCGTATAAAAAGAACAAACTACTGAAATAGACCAACAAATTGGTTTATCTTTCAGAGCGCCAGAAGTGTGCCGTGTGGATCAAGAAGCTGTGTGAGCCGCCCGGTGGTGGGACTTCAGTGAGGTAAGCTAAAGTAAACGCTTTGTCCTTTAATGTCAGTTACGTAAGCTAAAGTAAACGCTTTGTCCTTTAATGATACTCGTCTTTTCAAGAAGGCAGTACTGTCTCTGTCTTTGTTTCAGTGTGGTATAACGTTACTCTGGTGTTGGTTTTAGAGCGCCACTAGTAGGTCTTACTTCTTTACCTTCCTCCTCCCTTTTTTCGGTTTACCTTTCTCTCCCTTTTCACCTGTGTTAAATAGCCGTTATTGTGTCTATCTTCTCTTTACTCATGTTGGTACTTCGTTCCTCTCAAGGCAGCTCCCAAAGCAGCGCAATATGGGACGTACAACACGTGTGGGAAGGCTAATAATATGCAGTGGGACGGCGTCTACTACTTCAGAATCTTTAAACAAACTTGGTACAAAAACAAGGGTAGGCCTTGGTGGCCCGCCCTTATACACATTGTTTTGCCAGTTGAGGTAACAGTGCGTCCATTTAGTGCTCGACTATTGTTTTTAGGAAGTTGTGTGTGTGTGTGTGTGTGTGTGTGTGTGTGTGTGTTTGTGTGTGTTTGTGTGTGTGTCCTGGGTGGAGCAGAAAAAGAATAACAAAACGAGAATCGAACTTTGGTAGGGGGTTCACCTGGCGTGAATGAATTGGTCTGGGTTTGAATTTGTATACCTCACAACAGCCGTTACGCTGTCTCGTTCCCGGTTAACTTTAAGAAATCCAAGCAAAGGAACAATAGGGAAAAGCAAACGTCCAAATTCTCTACGTCAATATTTCTCTTCTAATCTGCTTTGGCCTGAAGCCTAATTGCACTTAACAGCCTTGTGATGAGATCTGTTTTGATGTCAACAATAGAACCATTGTCCTACCCGAAGCCTTTGCGTCGTCGAAGCGGAATCGGACGTGTCAGGTGGTGACAGTCCGGCCACAAAGCTCACTTCAGATACTGTACTTGTCCCCTCAACAACGGGACGGACTGTTTTCTCAGCAAGGAAAAATACACTGTAGATTGGTTCTTTGTGGAGAAAGAAAGGGCAGAATTCGAATGTGTGCAAGTGTGGAGCTTATGTCCCCTACTGTCTGTACCTCCCTTTCAGAGTGTCAAGATTGCAGATAGTAAAACCCGAAGCGCTACTGAATTAATGCGTCCCCTCGCAGAAACTGGCCTCAGCGTGTTTTTTTATACCGTTAATCCTGTGTTTTTAGCCAATCGCCGGGGTCAGGAGATTTTTCTGTGTGTCTTCAGAGAGGTGGATTAAGTGAAATAATGAAGCATTATGCTTAGTAATCCTGTTAATTTCATAGACACAATGACTTAGTAGTATGGGCCCCTGCTTTCAAGGGTTTCTGCGTCTTATGAAGCCGCTCTTACTCTCGTGGGAGGTGAGAAATGAAAGGTTTGGATCAGGACGGGGAATTGTGTGTGGAGAGGGCGGGGGAGGAGTCGGGACGGGGGAAGAATCCAGGACCGAGATCTTCGAAATGTTTTTGCATTCTACGGCTGTGGTATGAGTATGGGCAAAGCTTTTATTTCGTGCCCCCGTCCCCTCACACACACACACACCACACACACATACGTTTGTAGATTACCCCTTCCCACCCTACTCCTTTTCTTCCCATTTCGCTCCGTGTTCCCTTTCTGCTTTGTAGTTGAGAGGATCACGTTCATTCTCAGCAGGATTCACAGAACATGTCAATATTTGAGGTGTCCCCTCGGACAGAATAGGGCCTTCCCTATGGAGATGGATACAGTAGGCATTATGCGTATTATTGCAACAGGACATGAGACTCTACTAAAGTGGGATTCAACTCCCGTCCGGTTGCTATCAAATTGTATGACAACGACAGCCATTGCGGTCAGACTTTGTAAGAAAATCCGAATTGACACCTATTCCGCTTCATCTGATCAGATTTACACAGACACTGTGTGTATGTTTGTTTGCTTGTTTCTTTTTTTTTAAATCAACGTTTGCAAGCTGCCTTAAAGGGTGCAGCTCGCGGGAAATAACTCAAAGCATCTAAGTTCTGCACTGGGAGAGGTTTTAATTTTGTTTAGGGGGTGTGTGTGTGTGTGTGTGTGTGTGTGTGTGTGTGTGTGTGTGTGTGTGTGTGTGTGTGTGTGTGTGTGTGTGTGTGGTGGGGTTGGGGTATTCCGACGTATACGATAACTACGACGACTAAGGACGACAGCAGCAGCAGTAATGACGGTGGCAACGACGATATTAATAAAATTTACACCGATAGTAATGATGATAATGCTGCTAATGCTGCTATTCTTCTGCACTAGATCTCAGTTAAAGGATCACAGTTTAACCTCTGGAACGCACACTTTGGCCTGCTTAGCTGCTATCCTGGTCCGACCATCCGATCGTGCAGTTCCGGCAAGTCACGTAAAGGTGATCTCCGATTATGATTCATCGGAGAGGTGATTCCTTGTTGTCTCCCGAAGACAGTTGTTGGCAAACCTGTTGTCGCGACTCAAATGACAGTGACAATACTGGCGTTTGTGGTGAAACGCTCATGCACTTTGTGGTCGCACACAGAAGACCTGAGTTCGATTCCTGTGTGGGGAAAGTTGTTTTTTTTTATCAAGTATTTCGGTCTTTCTGCTTGGACGTTGTTTCTCTTCCAGCCCGGGTTGGCCCTGACAGGCAGTGTCAAAGCCTGCTTCCTGAATGATTAACATTGTGTCGATGCGGGTGCAAAAGCACGTAATTAAAGATAATATTAGAGCATGTACTGAGAAGGAGCAGGAACAGAGGGGTGAGACGTTATCTCAGCATGTGTCTTTTTAGGCGGCTGTAAGTGTGACCATGGTCCGAGCAGCCTCCTGTGTTTCGTTCTTCGACTTCGGTTGTGTTCATGGGTTTCCGTGGTTATCCAGCCACATAGCTTTGTCATATCGGAGATGGGCGTTGAAGGAGAGGCCGTATCTGTGAAATGAACTTTTGAAAGAAGGGTGTTGCCCCCATCGTTCCGTAGCGCAGAGACTGAAACTACGTCTCCACTACCGGTACCGAGTCTGTGTTTTTGGATCGTAGCCGAAATCGATATGGAGAATAAATACTGACCCATTGTGTATTCCCCCTTCCGACTGGATCACTGCTGACACACAAAGAAAATTTCGTGTTTTCATTCCTGGGGGTTGATTGATGTCAATGATGTACTTGTCTAGAACAAATTTCTGGGGTTGTTAAATGAATAAAGATTGTCCTTTTTTCTAGACGTTCCTGGTAGCATGTCTTAATATTGTGTGGTCCGTGAATCGTATCCTGCCATCTCTGGCCCGCCCCCTCTCGACTGCTCGTCTTGTTTTTGATTTTGAGCCTGTAATTATTGGCTCGATACCAGGCCAGGTTCGTTCGTTTGTGTATGTGTGTGTGTATGTGTGCGTGTGTGTATGTGTGTGTGTTTGTATGTCTGTCTGCGCATTCGTGTTTGTGTCTGTGTGTGGACACCTGTAAGCGTCCGCATTAAACCGCATTTCAGGCTGCAATGCCAGCCCTTATCTTGGTCACGGCATTGGTGTTTGAGTCTTGCAGTGTATGGGAGCGCATTAAAGTGTCTTGTGTACTGTAATTTATGAAGACTATACCATACTAACGCTGCCACCTCGTAAGCCGATGGCATTTCTGATCAGATCAAGCAAAACTTGCTTTTAACTGGAGGGATTAGATATTTTGTTGAAGGTTTGGTGGGGGGGGGGTGCTGGTGTTGGATTTTTAAAACGCTATGAACAATTTGATTTTCTCTTTCGCACCCCATCTTCATTTTTCTTATCTTTTTCTGCTGTCCAGGAACACATGCCTAACGAAAATAACAATTATCCGTATATGACTCTGGGGGTCTACTTTTAAAGATTTACATATGGGTCTGTTTCTAGGAACACGTGCACGAACACAGAGTATGCTGGCCGTAGACTTTCTATTTTTGGATAAATTTATGTACCTATGTGTACTCAATTGTGTAATACATCTGAAATCTTACCACCTTGGAGAGCACATTTTTGTGTTGGGAACTATGCAGAAAATAAATGTCTACCCATTTGTTTTTCCGTTCTATCTACAGACAATCTGTCTGTCTGTCTGTCTGTCTGTCTGTCTGTCTGTCTGTCTGTCTGTCTGTCT